CCTAGCTTATCTTTATAACAAATTCAAATTTTATATTTTTAGGCCTTTAGACCTCAGTGGAGTTGCTTTAATTCATATTTAATAATGCAGAATGCCTATATAACTACATGTATAAATCTAAAACGTCTCAACAACATGGGAGAAGTTTACCATCAATATACAAACACTGTATAAAGGCTACTCCATGACTGGTAAAATTTGGGTCAGGCCAGAAAAATTGTCTAAGTAATTAGCACAACTGGCCTGTGAAAAATTACCAATTAATCACATTAGTTAATGAAAATGAAATAAGGATCTAATCCAAAGCTTTACCTTTTAATCTAAATGGGTGGACTCATATGTGAAGAAGGCGTGAAACAAGGCTTTACTGGTGGAGGAAGATCTCAGTTGCCACTCTTCATTGCCCTTAACGGGCACCTGAGTAGAATCAACAGCATTTGGTAAGCTTGCTGGATAGCTTTCTCAGATAAAAGAATCCAAAGATGCTTGTGTGGCTTAAAAGGCAAGTAGTTTGAAGTCAAAAAATTTAACCACTCGGCCACAGATGCTCCTTCAATCAACTAGTTTCTTTAATCACTTACATGCTAGAAATGTAAGTGACTAGCCTTTGCCAGAAAAATAAAACCAGGGCTGTGACTACACAGTCAGTACACATTCATGCACTCTAACCTAAGCTAGGCTTTATATTGTTTGTACAAAATGTAGCTAATTCTTTATATCTTAAAAGAAAATCCCTTTAAGGCTTCTTATTGTTAGTAGCTGATTCTTTGAATTTTAATATCGAAATCCTCTAAACCTTGAATGGACTGTTCCTAAATCAAAGTTAGGCAAATCCATTACATAGGCAAAGCGTTAAAACAAAAGGTAAAACCTTTCTAAATTTCAGGTGGGAAAGATATAATCCCAGACTCTTACAAAGCTGCCAATAATTTTACTTTATAAAAGTTACTACTTCTGTCAGTTAGCAAGAAACTTCCTATTATCATCAAAAAACAAATAACTTCTATCAATTTTACAATATGATACTTAACTTCCTAGAATTTATTTTGAAGCATTTCCTTTTAAAAGAATAAAGTAATTACTTTACCAAGCAAATCAATTTTCTAATTTTCTCACAAATTACAATATTTAGTGTTTATATTTTCTGGGAATGCTATCAAGTAAACTGTACAATTTATAAACAAGATGCAAGAATGCTATAAGATTTTCTAAAGAAGAGATCAAAGGTTCCTTAAAGATATTAAATGAGTTATTACCCACTTTATAATTTAGCAGAGAATACATGCTTGTATCTAGATCTATTACTCAGACAGTGAATTGTACAGAGCCAAAAAGACTTCCTGAACTTTATAAAATAGGTAAAAGTGGATTGGTCTACAATGGGTACACTTTCAATAAGTACTTCAAATATTGATGAAAATATTGGAAATATTTGAGCCGCGTCACGACAATACCAACATAATGGGTTTGGGACCAGCATGGATCCAGACCAGCCTGCGCATCCGCCTAGTCTGATCAGGATCCATGCTGTTCGCTATCAGTTTCTCTACTTGTTATAGAGTTTGTAAGCGAACAGTATGGATCCTGATCAGACATTATTACATACTTTCCATTATGGACCAATGTTCTTTAAAGTTTATCCGGCTGGAACCGGAAGATGAGCAAAATATTTCAAGAAAATCAATATTGAGAAAAATGTACTAAAATTATAAGAAAGGTAAAAACATTCAAGATCCATAAGATCCAAGTTATATTTTTCATGTTATGTGCGGTTATGACTGATTTTGCAGTATTTTATCACCATATTTCTACTGCGTTACTACATTGTAACACAGTAATGGCTGTTTTTGCATATGTTGACCACTTTTTGGTAATTTTCTTGGATTGTTAGTGCCAATTGCAATATGTAAATTACTATTTTTGTTAACCTCACAATATTTTACCTTCAAAAACATTTCTAAAATTTTCATGAAAATTAACATGAATCTGGCGGCGTGCTGCTTTAAGTTTTAACCAGCTGGAACCGGAGTGGTAAGCCTTTGCCAACAGAGTTCTGAGAGCCAGACCAGCCTGGACATTCATACAGTCTGACCAGGCTGTATACCGATGGTAGCTTAAATTTTGTGTTCTAATATTAAAACCCCTTAAACTTGGAATGGAATGTTCCAAATTCAAAGCAGGGCAAATCCATTACACAAATTTAGCAGGTTAAGGAATACACATCAAGTACTGCACTTAGAGAATGTGTAGTAAAATATCAATGGAGCTGACAGTTAAAGACAGGTGTTTCAATGTAATATTTTTGTCTGTAACAAATTGGTTTTTCATGTATGGGATACTGTATGAAATACTTATAGCCTCTTAGTACAGGTGAATAAATCATTTATGCAGTCATCGAATTTAGCACTGGCCTGTTGGCCCATGGCCAGTGAAAATTAGTTTGGGCCTGTGTAAATTTTAAGAAAATTTAGTTAAATAAATAGTAGAATAAATTCAAAACTGGAATTCGAGCCAGTTAATTTAAAATCTTAAATTCAATGACTGTTTATGGTAGGTGAGTTATATAAAATGATGAATGATTTATTCACCTGTGAATTATATAAAATAAACAAGAGCACCGCTAGGCGGAGCATTATATGCCCGAAAGTGATTTTTTTTTTTATTAAAGATGAAGCATTTGTAAGACATGGGAGTAAAATAAAGTATTACCTCCTTCAAATAACAATCCTCCTTTGAAGTTTCAATATTGTGGTCCAAATGGAACTTTAAGTTATGCCCCAGAAACTGTTTTCAGTTCTAAGGTAAAAGTGACCTTTGACCTTGTGACCCCAAAATCATTAGGGGTCTTCTACCCAAAATGGACAATCATACTATGAAGTTTAAACACAGTAGGCCAAATGATACTTAAGCTATATTCCGAAAACTGTTTTCAGTTTTAAGGTAATAGTGACCTTGACCTTGTGACCCCAAAATCAATAGGGGTCTTCTACCCAATATGGACAATCATCCAATGAAGTTTGAATATTGTGGGCTAAATGGAACTTAAGTTATGCTCAAGAAACTGTTTTCAATTTCTAAGTAATAGTGACCTTGACCTTTGACCTTGTGACCCCAAAATCAATAGGGGTCTTTTACCCAATATGGACAATCATCCTATGAAGTTTGAACACTGTGGGCCAAATGGAACTTGAGTTATGCTCCGGAAACTGTTTTCAGTTTTAAGGTCATAGTGACCTTGACCTTTGACCTTGTGACCCCAAAATCAATAAGGGTCTTCTACCCATTATGGACAATCATCCTATGAAGCTTGAACACTGTAGGCCAAATGGAACTTAAGTTATGCTCCGGAAACTGTTTTCAGTTTTAAGGTCATAGTGACCTTGACCTTTGACCTAATGACCCCAAAATCAATAGGGGTCTTCTACCCAATATGGACAATCATCCTATGAAGTTTGAACACTGTGGGCCAAATGGAACTAGTTATGCTCCGGAAACTGTTTTCAGTTTTAAGGTCATAGTGACCTTGACCTTTGACCTTGTGACCCCAAAATCAATAGGGGTCTTATACCCATTATGGACAATCATCCTATGAAGTTTGAACACTGTAGGCCAAATGGAACTTAAGTTATGCTCCGGAAACTGTTTTCAGTTTTAAGGTCATAGTGACCTTGACCTTTGACCTTATGACTCCAAAATCAATAGGGGTCTTCTACCCAATATGGACAATCATCCTATGAAGTTTGAATATTGTGGGCCAAATGGAACTTAAGTTATGCTCCGGAAACCAAATTGCTAACGGACGGACGGACAGACGGACGGACGCCAGGGGGTAAATAACATAAAATGTCCGAAATTCTTTCGGGCATATAAAAAATGTTAGCCAAAGATATTGTGACAAACGAAAATGATAAAAAAAACATAGTATCTCACTTACTGTATAACATGTTACATGTCAGGCAATACCTTGGCATTCCCACATCTACTACTGAGATGTAATATGCTAATTAGTGGGCGGGATTATATGACAGTCCACCATGCTCGTAAAATCTTACTTGCCATGACTTAATTGTTATTAATTTTGGAAATAAATTTTTAAAACTTGTAATTTGCTCATTTGCATTTTGGCAAAATTGAAAAAAGTTTAAACATTATACCAGTATCTTATGCCTGATTTTAATGTGTATATTTATGATCATATAACCTGCCATTTTTTATCAGAAGCAAGTAAAAACAGTTAAATTTTTCTCAGATTTTTTTTTTTTTTTTGACTGCTAATTTTTTTTTTTAAATTGGAAGAAAAGAGGCTATTTTTGATTTGGAATGGAGCCTTATTTCGGTGCCTAGTCATTGGAGAAATTGCGCTGTAAAATCCAGAGATTTCATTTTCTTAAGTTAAAGGCACATTTTGCCTCAGAAACTTATATTTCTTTCTTTAGGAAGGGCAAACATAATTTTTTAAAATAATGGTTTTAAAGCATATTACATGCTTATCTACGAAGGAAAGTAGTCTGAATGTTAAATTTTTTGTCATAAAAGTAACAAATTAGAATCTTGACTTCCATACAGAATACTTAATCACTATAACTGTTCTAATTGCCGGAAAGCAACAGAAGCAAAAAATGGTTCAGGCTCAAATGACTGATGAATGTTTTTCTGGAAACAATAACAGGGCACCAAAAATAAAAATCTTTTGAGAAATAAAAATTGAAAGATTTTTGAAGTATAATGGGCCTTTAAAATGTAGGTTTTACTCTTTATGATATGATATTTCTCATGAAACAAACAAGTTTTTCTGTCAATCATAAACAACAAATAAAGATACACATTGAATTCTTATATGTACAACTTGTTACACAAAAACCTATGGTGTAAAGAACACTATTATCCAGAAATGTAGTAATAATTGATATTTTCATGAAGGGGTCCCCGACATTTACATGTAATACTCCTGTGAATATGATACATTTTGCTTCCAAAATCAACATGTATTTAATAAATACCTTTTTGTCGTATCCATCACTGACAGGGGACATAATTCCTGCTATAACATTGTATTTACCACCTCTTTGTAGCTGATCACGACCTAGTTCTGAAATGCATAATGTAAGTATACATGATTTAAATCTCTTTTTTGGAGTTGAGTTTTACATGGCACCAGCTTAGTAAAGGTCATTTGGTGTGTTTCCAGCTTCACTAGTGGAGGAAGACCTCAGGTGTCCCCCTGTGCATTATTTCACGCACAAACAAGCACACAAGTAAGAACCACCTAGAAAGATTTTAGGTGATGTTCCGAACACAGTAAGTCGTTCAAGTGCTCACAGAATACTAGGTTATGATCTAAAATTGACACCATACATATATACGCTTTTAGTTATGCAACACCTTAAAGATAATGACAGTCAGTCGACTTCGATTTGTAAGTTGTGATTTGCTTTGGTTTAGTGACAAATCTCATTTCTATTGGAATGCTGCTTTGAATAATAAAAACGATCGCCATTGGGGAAGTGAAAAACCATTCTATCACCTGGTCTATCACCTGAAAAAATCGCTGCATAGTGATAAAGTCATGGTTTGGGCAGCATTAAGCAAGGAATGAATCATAGGGCCATTCTTCTTCAAAGACAAAGACAGACAAGCAGAAATGATGAACAGTGAATGTTACATGTATCTCCTGTAATGTAACTTTCATATAAATACTGATTAAACAAATATGTATTAAAAAAAACATGGAGAAATTTGCACTGTGATTTTGAGCGCAAGCTTTGAATTGTCTAAAATCATGTTAGAATTTATATTTGAATAAACAGTCTATGATACTTTTAAAGATGATCCATTTCTGCATAAATTTCACGTTTTATTTAAGAAAATAGAAGCCAGATTCTGACCCAGAACAAAATATCTCAGAATCTAGCCTTTGCTTTGGCACCTCAACATATTTTGACTTGTCAAAGCATTATCATAAATTATATTTGACAAATATTAGAAAAAAACGTAGTAAAAATTATTGTTAAGATAAAATTCAATTGTTCTAAGATAATCATAAAAACAATTAGAGATATTTCCATAAAAAAATTCTACTTTCACTTTCAGATTTTTTTTTCAATTTATTTGTTCAATTATCGATCCAGATTAAAAGTTATCTTACCAAACATTCGCAAATGCATATTTGTTGGTGGATTAAATGATCCGCATGCCAGCAACACAACCTTTTGAGGCGTTGTCATGTTTATTCTTAAACAATTCATTAAATGCAACCGTAATTCCCGTGATTTCCAAGCAAATGTTTTCAACTTCCCATTTAGACGGTGTACATAAGAACTTCAAATGCGTGATTATAGATTTCCAATGGGTGACTGAATGCTATAGTATTTCGCTGATTCGGCAGATCCAACAAATTTTATAGTATAAGCGTCTGCATAAACTTTCAATTAGAAAAACGTAAAGCTGTATGACAACATTTGCATATTGTAATTTAAGTTGATAATCATAGATTCTATATATATTATACATATGCTGTAAAAACAGATGAATGCTCGGGCTTCAACTCATGGCTGTCCCTGTTTTTTTCATTCCAGAAATTATCAAAACTTTTCATTTGTAGTAATGACATTATGATATTTGATAATATTGTAATAATTGATGTAGAATATTGAAAGGCTTTCCACCAAATATGTAAAATGTAACAGCAGGCCTATTATAAGCGGTCAGTTAAATTTACTTTTTTACGAAATGTGGTGGAAGCTTGGATCTTTTTTTGGATCTCTTTGGAACTTTCCAGAAATGGTGTCATATCAGGAAAATGCAAAATACATAGCGTTCGCTTACTATAAAAAAAGACAGTATGATGATATAATTCAAGCAACTTTTTATACAGACAGCTACAGTACAACCCGTGTACCCGAGTGTCGATGACGAGCATATAAATAAAAAATGTTAATCAAACCCCTGAAACAATTCTTGTTAAAATTCTTGTGACATCATGTAAAAGCCATAAAAAACATTGGCAACCAAAATTTTAATATAAATACGAAGACTGTTCCTTTAACTGTACAAGAAAACTCGACTGCCCATCGTTGAATAAGAGCTTTATCAAAGCCGATTAATTGACTATACTGTAAGAATTGTCAGATCAAGCCAGTAAAGTGCTAAAAATTTGTAGTTTTGTAAACCACCTTTACATGCCATACAAGAATCAAAGCACAGAAATCGCTGCATTTGCAAAACAGGAGTTGTCTAATGTTTGAAAATTATTGCGCCTGTCATTTGGCAATCTTTACGCAGTGATATTCCCTTAATTTTTCGGCGCAAGTGTTCTTATAAAGGGAAGTAACCGCTTCGAGGAGTTCGGACTACTTGCGGATTTGCAAATAAGCATAACAGGGTCTGAAATTTCGCTACCATTATTTGTTTGATCTGACGACCCAAACAAATAAAAAACAAAGTAGATTTCGTTTTAACATATACAACCGGGATGTCAGTTTTCATCATGTTTACTGCATGCGTAAATATTATGCTTCAAAATAAATCCTACAAAAGTATCCTGCGGATTCCAATAACTTTGCTCAAATTTGCATAAGAAGGGGCATAACTCTTTCAATAATAAGTCGATTGCAGCAAATCAAACTTAACATAATTATGTTTTGATAACATACTTACATGTACATGTCAACATGTACATGTCAAATATAAACACAGTCATGGAGACCATTGAAAAGGCATATTGTGAAAAAATACAGAAAAATTGCTTTAAAAGGGGCATAACTCTGTCAATAAAAAGTTGATTGCTGCGAAAATCGAACTTAACCTGTGTTTTGATATCTATAGAGGATATTTGTTTGTTTCAGTGTAAGATCGAAAAATATTTCACCGAGTGAACACCAGATGCAATATTTTCCACGAGTGGCGTAGCCACGAGTGAAAATATAATAGCTGGGGTTCACGAGTGAAATATTATTTGATCTTACATGTAAAACAAACAAATTTTCTGTTTATTTCATGATTTTTTAACGATTTTTACACCATTTTACTGATTTTTGCCGCGTAACGTCATGCTCTTATCTTCATGACGTCACCAAATAATGACGTCACAATGTTTAAGCAAAATATAATTCCATGATTATTTTTAGATTTTAGATGTTTTTCAGCACAACGTTCGTAAATATTTACGAACTACAACTATCACGTACATTTTTTATTATGATTGACTACATTTCCGCTGAAAAAAAACATTCATTAATGATAAATATTTTATTTTTACGCCAAATATAGTTCGGCTACTGTGAAATTATATTTTGTAATCATTACTGTGAAATTATCAGAATATAATTAACCGTTATAATTCAGTAATCTACTGCAAAACATGTAATAAATATCATTAATTACTTACATACTAAGTATTTACACTATCACTTAAATGTTTCAAAAGTAATCCCGAGGAAACCAATTTACAGACAGACGGACGGATATAATCGTTTGCTTCTGTAACAAAAATACCAGAATCATCTTTGGCTCCTGTAACAGAAACAAACTTAAAACTGCATGCTTCCAGACGAGCCAAAATATTTTAAGAGAAATCAAACTTGAAAACAATGTACTAAGATTTTAAGAAAAGTAAAAGATTCAAATTATATTATAGACGTTATTTGCAATTCATGACTGATTTTTCAATATTTATCACCATATTTCTTATGCAAGACCAACGCAGTAAGAACTATATTTGCTTTTTTGGACCTCTTTTTGGTTATTTACTTCCAATGTGTAAAATACATTCTTTGTTCACTTAATAATTTTTTACCCCCTTGTGGCTGGGAGTGGTTGCGTCATTAGAATTGCAGCAACCGTTCAACCCTACGTGATCGTAAGAGGCGACTAAACGGATTCGATTTTTTTAGTCTAAACATCTTTTAGCTCCAGCATGTGAGGTGTATTTGAACCCTGGTGTTGCTTTAAGCTTGTAACAC